TCATTTCATCATTCAGCGTTAAATCGAATAAATTGTCTTTTATTAATGTACGGCTAATAATGCTTACGTAGTGTTTTAATGTGACGATACTTTACAAACACAACTTCATACACAAACGACATCATGCGACCATTGCAAGTGATAAATATATGAAGTGATAAATAGATGCATTCAGAAGTAGATCTGCAATGTGTGCTACTGATGTTGATAGATATAAATAGTATGCATCATGAATCGAAAGTGGAATGCTTGGAGGCAGATGGCTAAGATGATCAAAGAAAAGAGAACGAGAATAGGGAATGATTGGTGTGGAAACGAAAGAACGATGAAGTCCGAGACGATCGACTGACATTTTATAAATGAAGAATTCACTGTACGGTTCTCAGATCTTACTAAGTTGTTCCGTAATTTTGTATTTAAATGCATTCATTTGTCCCCACTTTTGTTCAGGTTCACTACACTACTGCACCGCCAAAGTTAAATTCATGGGTTGCTTTATAAACTGAATCTGTTTTCATCAGAAGGAGTATTTTGAGATTTTAGAAATTTCACAGATTGGAATTATGAATCAATTAAAGCTAGACCACCATGGAGAACCTGGAAGCACTGGACGACCGTTTCGTTTTAGTACGTGACTCCTCAGCAGTGCGCATCCACGATCCCACGGCCCAGGAGATTTGAACCCAGGACCTATCAGTCTCGCGCCAAGCGCTTAACGAACTAGACTACTTAGCCGGCATCCAATTGTGTTAATGTCTAACTTCAACCAATTCACGAAATTGAGCGAGACATTCACCAATGACTTCAGTGAGCTGATATCTCACAAAAGACCTGGTTGAACTCCAATGAAACCCTTCTAATGATAATCATCTGCTCACTAGTGACTGACTTCAAGAGATACTCCTGGAGTTCTATTGAGGAGCCGTTATTCTAGATGAACGGTGGATTCGGTCTTCTCAGCCCTTTTAGTAACCCATAAGTCATGTCATCACGGCAACGTGTGAGTTCGAAGTGGGTTAGAGAGAAGAATACTATTCTATCACCTGACTGGCTGACAAGCACGCCATTGAGAGAAGACAAGTCAACTAAAACACTACTTGATCTATTCTCAATACCGATCTGGTTCCTGATTTCAGATCAGTGTAAAAACATGCATAAATACATAAATGACTAACCCGAGCACAACGTACAACAATTAGAAAAATACAGTTATTTCACAAACTGGCGATTGGCCTGGAAAATAGAAAATAAAATAATACGTTTAAATTACAATAGCATTGGAGCAAAAAGGGTCATAGCAGTGAATTATACATCAGTCGAGAGCTCATGAACTGTAGAATATATTGGAGATATAAAAATGTTATTGTCTAACAAGCTTTGAATTAACTTAAATAACGCCTCAAAAAATAGTTTCCGTAATTTGTCAAGGCTTTTCATTTGTCTGTTCACATCAACCTTATATAAAGATTATATTTTATAACACTGGAAATTTATGTAAGGTTGAAAACATCAAATTGTACACAGTGGAAGATCTGTTAATTTGTAGTGGCATTGGACAGATAGCACACAATCTTCAAAGCTGAACACAACACTACTCGGAAAATAGATATTCAATATTTGACACGGAGAAATACCTAACGATGGAAAAGGCGGGAACAATGAATGGAATGAACTGGAGTTGATCGGATGGCATGACTCGGCCATGCAGGCGTGGTCTCTGCTGAATGTTACCTTATATCTTTTATTCATATTAAATGTACTGTTTCTTCTCTAGCCTAACCTTGTTCTACATCATGTATTGGTAATTGATACGATACAGTGAGTTGGTGTAGTCGATGGTGTGACTTCCACGTTAGCTCTTATAGATTCGGCAGTTATATCATGACAAATCTACAAATTTAGGATTAGGTCTATTATAAGAGCAGTACTAATATCATAGTAGACCATAATTCTACAAATTCATCAATCTGCAGCGTCTGTTGATTTCATTTGGTTTAAGAAAGAATTTGTAGTACAAATTACATAAATTGGTTGGAAGAGGCATGGCAATTTCGGTTGAGTTGTTTAATCGAGCTAACCTCATGATAACTCATTCAAAGGCAAATTGTAAACTAATCAGAACTAGTGTTGACTACTGCTAGCTAGTGTTATGGGGTTCAACCACTGTAAAATGTAAACATTTCTTAAGTACCTTATGAGTGCTAAATTATTTCTCTATAGATGGACTTTCTGGATGTTCAGATACAAAGTCAAGCCGTTTGGTCTATATATTTCTGAAGAAATGTTTGAGGAGTTTACACCTCAAAATACTATTGGTCTGGATGGTGTTGAATCGTACGTGTAATGTCTAAAACAACAGTAAGTGAGATGTAGTGTCATAAATGTGTTACTGAGTCTACCAGCTATTGAATCTATCAACATGTATCTGATTTGTTGCCAGTCAATCGTGAGTAGTACATGAAATGAATGATTGAACGTGACGTAGGTAACTTTGTGATCACTGTGTGAGGTGCAAGTGGAGTTCGAACCATATGAAAATCAAATATTCAACACATTAACATTATTGAGCGCCAGAAATTTACCTATGAAACTCTTATTGTGGCTACTTTCGAATAAATTACAAATGAAATTTGATAATAACGACAGTGCAATAAATAGATCCAGATCATTCTTCCACTAGGTTAACATAGCTCAGATGAAGCTTGAAACTTACTCCGGGTCAGCAGACGTCATGAAGACTATTAACATATTGACGAACTATGTATCACACTGATGCTGATCGATCGCAATTTTTGTGACTGAATCCTTGAAGTTTCCACAGAATTAGGCAAGTCAGTGAGCAATTTGAAAATTGACAAGAAGCATTTGAGTGGCAGACGTATCAGTATTATGAGGCACGTTGACTAAGGATTCCATCATTTGTATAAAACATTGACAAATACGGTATAGAACAAATGCTTGCAACACGTTGATTTCATATGAAGTATGACTCAACAAATTTGATGCCATCTTCACTTATGAAATTACTTATCATGTCAGACGATTGACAGCAGACGATAAAGTCTATCGTTCCCAAGTGTGTAAAGTCGGCCATAAAATATAATCAGAGTTTCATTCCATGAAGATCTAGTAACAAGCAGTTACATAAAATTCATAAGAGAAGTAGAGTGAGTTGGTGTAAACACAGTTTCGATATTCACAGCGACGCTTAGAAGTCAATTTTTGTTGTAACTTAGAATCATCATATGTTTATTAATCTCCCGATATTGAAGTAGATGAAAATCATATCAGTATACAATAAAAATACGAAATAATTTCTGAATGTCATAATTGTAAACTATCACGCGATTATTTATTTTAGTCTTACGATAATATGTGATATAGAGTCTAAACTGATTGAAGGTTTTCAATTATTTACTCAGGTGACCTTATAGAAAAGCACCCTACAGACTGTCTGTCTCATTCAACTAGTTCACTTACACAATTGTTGAAAATATTTTGTCTAGAATTTTCAAAACGTGTGTATATATATATATGTTAAATATAATTGCTGACTACTAGTTGTAAGGAACTGAAACATGGTACATGCTTCAGGACGCATATCCCTTTTGTTATCATTGATGATGTGTGAGTTAAATCTTTATGTGACAAATGTTTGTTTTCCATGTGATAAAAACGAGAAAGAGAGAAAGAGAGACTATATTCATTTATTCCACTAATTATTTTTCCACTGAAAATTCGAATGCTTTCAGTAGTTGATCATATATTATTAGCAGTAGATTAAAAAGACGGTGTTTATACTATTATTAATTGATAATGGCAAGTTTTCTGTATTGATTATTTGGAATGTCACGATATTCCTAACTGGATGTGTTTGTTTGTGATCATTTTGCGTAAATACGCGTTTACTATTTATCGAATTTTGTGTTTTCTAAATATCGTGGGGTGCCCATATTACGGCGTACAAACATTGGTCTCAAAGCGTCATCATGTGTTCAGGCGAATATATGGAATTTATCCAATTTACAATTGAGTAACGTTTTCAAGATGAAAATATTACAGAAATTTTGTCATGGAAACTGAAGTTATTTAAAATGATTTTACAAAATACACGTCATTTTCGAATGACATTCAAACATGCATGCATGTTTGATGTTTTTCTTTTTCTTGCACTCTAGCATTCTTATCATCAAAGACGGTGATTGGGACGTATGAGCCAGCATACTTAAAGACGAATATGTTTGGAAGTAAGTGTGGATATATCTTCGGATGGATTAATGATAATATATTTTGTCTAAAGTAATAATAATATTTATGTCGATTGGCTTCGTTTCATTACTAACACTCTTTCCTCCTGACGATGATGTGTGAAATTGTGATAAATCAATCGGAAATAGACAACAGACTGTTTGGTTCACTGATATAATGTAATGAATAAACCATAACATCAAGGGATTAAACGAATTGGTAGTTCGACAAACTACTTGAATCACCCCAACGTTGTACGTATCAACTGGCAGCTGACTCAAATTTTTAATAACCGTCACAAGTGGACATCAATATTCCCTGTAGACGCACTTGCTGAGTGACAGCAGGTAAGGTAGTTGCATCAAAACACTTTCTAAAGACTGATGATCCAAGTTGCCGGACAGACATCAATCCAGTCCACCTAACCATAAGAGTCGGTCACACGTGTGCATTCGAAGTGATGCGTCTGAATGCTGCTCTTATTCTAGTAGTCTAATGTGAGCTCATCATGCGACTTTATTGCGTCTTCTAAACGAAAATAGATTTGACGCTTACTCAAAAAATAAAAAGATTTATGTACACTATCTCAGTTGTATATTCGTTTACACTTAGAACAAAGCTTCCTAGGCACACATTCGAAACCAGACGAATCATGCGACAAATGAATGTTGATCATATGTGGTTGAAATAGGTAACATATTTACACTTAATTTTAAAGTGAATGCAAATTATTTGGATCCTTTTACAGCAATCCCAATCACAAATACTTTGCGTGTAATTCAAGAACAGACGAAATCACTGTCGTTCGAATGGAAACCGATGAAGCACGATTCGTTTTCATATGTTTATTTAAAACAACCAGCAAACTTATTAAGCAGCACTACAAAATATATTTATGCAGGAGATATTGGAAATTTGCCAACCATTGGGAAACCGTGCGAAGCGACAAATTATGAAGCTAGTGGTTACTATAGTTGGTCAGAAATGGATTGGTGGTTTTCAACATATTACATTGAATATGAACGAGGTGAGCAGTTGCTCAGTATTATATCTTGTCTCTGTATTCATGTGTTTTGTACTGAAAGCAGCTAAGAATCTGCTTAGCAGTTTCCAAACGTAATATACTTGTAGGAATATCTGTTTAGAATTCTATTAGTGAATACAGTGTAACCGATAGTTAAATATTCCATGTGCTCTGGCAAATTCAGATTAAACCATAAAGCATCTCAAACAAACGTTGTTGGTGACTGTGTGCTCTTATTTTGCCTTACATTCTCATCGTCTTTTCTCACAGTTCCGAGGATCGAAAATGTTCGAATACAAATGCAGTCTGACTCATCTTCACGTATGACATTAGAAAGAGAAGAATCAACATGTGAAGTCGACACCACAGTGATGTTTAGAGGACATTCGAAAAATAAATTGGAGATGTTCATCATGCCACGAAATCAAGTTGAATATTATATCAACCACACAAAAGTGAAGGAAGGAAGCACAGAAGTGTTCATTCTGTTCAATAGACGTGGAGACCGTTTCTCTTTACCAACAATCGGTAATATTTTTTCATGTCTATCATTGTTTGCAAAATTTTCCGACATGCAAGGTTTGATGAAGAAGATGATGTGTATATTCGAAAGTTCAGTGCTTACATTTCACAGTCACACAATACAAGATAATTACAAAAGTTGCCACATAGTGACAACATGTATCATGTAGATCTAGGACAAATGTACAATTATAAATATTGTGTTGGCACATAGACGATAAATTGACATTATTGTGCGTACGTTACATACTTACTTACGCCTGTTACTCCTCGTGAGGGAGCATAGGCCGCTCACCAACATTCTCCATCCAACCCTGTCCTGGGCAATCCTTTCTAGCTCCGTCCAGTTGTAATTCATCGTCTTCATATCTGCTTCTTTTATCCGGCGCAATGTGTTCTTTGGCCTTCCTCTTTTTCGCTTCCTTTCAGGATTCCAAGTTAGGAGAAACCAGAGAAATAGTGAATAGGTCTTTATTTCGATCTTCGCGCAGTCACAGTGGAGCGTGGGATTATCTGTTCAGACAAACAGAGGCTCTCAACATTCAATATAAGATAATAAAGAATATAACGCTTATACAAAATAAGGATGTGAGTGAATACTTGAACAATACTGTCTTGGCGTATGCTTGGTTGTTTGGGGTCAACTCTTAACCAACCAACCTAAGCTGTTACAGGCTTGCCTCGTGATGCAGTTTGACGATTTGCGTAATGTATGTCCTATCCATTTCCATCGTCTTTTCCTAATTTCTTCTTCAGCTGGAAGTTGGTTTGTTCTCTCCCACAGAAGGCTATTGCTGATGGTATCCGGCCAATGGATGTTGAGTATCTTGCGTAGACAGCTACTTATAAATACTTGTACCTTCTTGATTGTGGTTGTTGTAGTTCTCCAAGTTTCAGCTCCATACAGTAGAACTGCCTTGACGTTCCTATTAAAGATTCTCACTTTGATATTGGTTGGAAGTGGTTATGAGTTCCATATGTTCTTGAATTGTAGGAATGCGACCTTTGCTTTGCCAATCCTCGCCTTGACGTCTGCATCTGAACCTCCTTCTTCATCGATGATGATTCCTAGGTATGTGAAGGCCTCCACGTCTTCCAGAGTTTCGCCATCAAGAGTGATTGGATTGCTGTTTTCCTCTTTGAATTTGAGGACCTTGGTTTTTTCTTTGTGTATGCTGAGGCCTACTGATGCAGAGACTGCTGCTACACTGGCTGTTTTCATCTGCATCTGTTCGTGTGTACGTGATAGGAGGGCTAGGTCATCTGCGAAGTCCAAATCGTCTAATTGATTCTGAGCTGTCCATTGTATTCCGTGTTTTCCTTCAGATGTCGAGGTCTTCATAATCCAGTCGACCACCAGAAGAAAGAGGTAGGGAGAGAGTAAACAGCCTTGTCTGACTCCGATCCTTACTAGGAATGCATCTGTCAGCTGTCCTCCATGCACGACCTTGCACTGTAGTCCGTCGTATGAGTTCCGGATAATATTGACAATCTTCTCAAGAACTCCGCAGCGTCAAAGATGTTTCCATAATGTCCTCGTATCTACACTGTCGAATGCCTTTTCATAATCAATGAAGTTGATGTATAGTGATGAGTTCCACTCAACTGATTGTTCGACGATGATCCGTAGTGTTGCAATTTGGTCTGTGCACGACCGATCCTTACGGAATCCAGCTTGTTGATCTCGAAGTTGGGCGTCTACTGCATCCTTCATCCGGTTCAGCAACACTCTGTTGAAGACTTTCCCTGGTATTGACAGTAGTGTAATGCCTCTGTAGTTTTCACATTTGCTCAGATCTCCTTTCTTTGGAATCTTGACGAGTTGTCCTTCTTTCCAGTCCATCGGCATTTGTTCCTCCTCCCAAATGTTTTTGAATAGAAGGTAAAGCATGCTTGTGGTTGCTTCGATGTCTGATTTCAGTGCTTCAGCTGGTATGTTGTCGGGTCCTGCTACTTTTCCGTTCTTGATTTGCCTAACGGCCATTCTAGTTTCTTCCGTCGTTGGTGGGTTGACATCTGTAGAAAGATCTATGTGTGCTGCTTCGATGTCCGGTGGATTCATTGGAACCGGCCTATTCAGGAGTTCCTCGAAATATTCTACCCATCTGTTACGCTGTTGTTGAATTTCGGTGATTGGCTTGCCTTCTTTGTCTTTGACCGGCCTCTCTGGTTTACTGTATTTCCCTGATAGTTTCTTCGTTGTATCGTAAAGCTGTTTCATATTTCCTTCTCTAGCAGCTTTTTCTGCCGTCGTTGCTAGTTCTTCAACGTATTTCTTCTTGTCGGCTCTAATGCTCCTCTTCACTTGTTTGTTTGCTTCTATGTATTCAGCTTGTGCTTGGACTTTCTCTGCTCGTGTTCGGCTGTTGTTTATTGCTGCCTTCTTGTTCTTCCTTCCTTTGATCTTGTCCAGTGTTTCTGTAGAGATCCATTCCTTATGATGGTATTTCTTTAGACCGAGAACCTCTTGACACGTTGAAGTTAATGTTTCCTTGATGTCTTTCCAGTTGTCCTCCATACTAGTTTCTTCTTCTTTCAGTAGATCTTGTAAGGCTTGGAACCTGTTGTTGAGAGCTATCTTGAATTTATTGAGTTTGACAGTATCTCGAAGGAAGGCTGTATTGACCCTTTGTATTGCTGTTTGTCCACTTGTCCAGTTCTTTTTTAGCTTCAGTTTCAAATTGGCTACAACTAGGTGGTGATCTGAAGCTACGTCAGCACCTCTCCTGGTTCTCACATCTTCCATTGTCCATCGGAATTTTTTGTTGATGCAAATATGATCTATTTGGTTCTCTAAAGTGTGGTCCGGTGAGATCCATGTAGCTTTGTGTATACGCTTGTGTGGAAATATTGTGCCTCCTATGACCAATTTGTTGAATGCACATAGATCTGCAAATCCTTCTCCATTTTCGTTTCTTTTTCCCAGTCCATGTCGTCCCATAATATCTTCATATCCAGTGTTGTCTATTCCGACTTTGGCATTTAGATCTTCCATCAGAATAGTTAGGTCCTTGCTTGAGCATTTCTCAATGATTGACTGCGGCCGCTCGTAGAAGTGATCTTTAATGTCGTCGTTGCTACCATTGGTGGGTGCATAACATTGGATAATATTCATTGTGATCCCCTCCTTCTTTGTTTTGAATGATGCTTTGATGGTTCTGGATCTGTGAGATTCCCATCCTACAAGTTCATTTCGTGCTACTTTGGACAGCATTAGAGCGACTCCCTGAGTGTGTAGCATTTTCCTCTTCGTGATCGGAGTATAGCAGCATCTCTCCCGTATTTAGCCTTCTCTGTCTAGCTTGGGTCCAGTCGGTTTCGCTGATTCCCAGTACTGCTAAGTTGTATCTCCTCATTTCCATTTCTGTTTGACTGGTCTTCCCGGTTTCCCACATTGTTCCAACGTCCCATGTACCTATAAAATTTTTTGCTCTGGTTGTTAGCAGGGGCATCGGCGTCGTGGCTTCCGAAGGAACTCGGCTTTCACCATGAAGCGTCATAATTCTTCTAAATGAAGACCTTCTAACTCCCAGGGCAGAGTTAAAATGGTTTGGAATTATTTTTTCTCGTAAGCGTTTTTCTAGCGAGTTAGTTTTCTACGGGATGAGGACGCTAACCCCATGCCCAACCCTCCTCCTTTACCCGGGCTTGGGACCAGCAGTAACCCCATAGGAGTTACAGGCGGAGTTATTGTGCGTACCTACAAGTAATTGACTGACGTTTGTTGAATTATCAAGTTCGGAGTCCACATTGCCTATTCAATCCGATAACAACTGGAAACATTAGGGAAATCAATATCGAGAAAATGAGGACACCACTGGTTTGAATCGATGCCACTTCAGATTTTCAAAGTGTTGAAAATGACGAAGTATATTTATCATGATAATTCAATGACATTCATGACAACACGTACCATGTCTCTGGTAACAGATATTGAGATCAGAACAAATTGTACTGAATTTCGAAGGATACTTCATCTCATTTTGAATAGTAACACAACGTCTATATTTCCGTATAAATAACTATATATAAATGGTGACCACCTACTCCATTGCTGTCACGATCAGGCGATTGCATGACGTGAACTTTGCGAAAAATCACGGTTGTGATGAACCATAGAATCACATATACTTCAGGCTGTCACAGAGCATAGTGTTCGTCTAGTGGTAGTAGAATCTAGAGGAATGAAATTGCAGTTGAAATCCCTAGATTGGTGAGCTGTGTTATTCTTCTTTTTTGAGCATAATTTTCTTGACCTGATATTTCGTTTTCAAATAAAAACAAAGGTGTTTATTTTCAAACTATTCTCTCTTCTACCGGAATCACAACGAAAACGTCATGAATGTGAGTTCATGGATTAAACTATCAAATGATTGAAAACATTTCTTTTCTGTAACGCATTTCTAGTAGTAAGATAAACAGGAGTCATTGAATTGATCAATTGATCAATAGTTTAAGTGACGATGCACTAAAAATATTTG